AAGGTCAGTGAGGACTGTTGACAAAAGCATTTGGAATCCAAGAAGCTGTAATGGAAGGCTTGAGTGAGGAAGATACTGGAATGGAGGATCAAGGTTATCAGGAGGAAGGGGAAACATTCCAGAGCTAGCGTGTCCTCAGTCCGCAGCAAAAGCGTGGGAATAGAAAGAGGAGGAGGCTAGCCCCTCCCTAGGGTCTCATGGGGTTATATCCACTAGTTGCTTTAGAAAAGGTTTAGTCTGGCGAGATTCTGTCTATCAGATGCAAGCTAAAAAGGGAACTGAACTGTACTGGATTGCCTCGCTGTTGTTCTTGGACTGAACCTGACAGAAGCCAAGGAAAGAATTATTTCCCCCTCTTCCCATTCTGCTCCCCAAGACAGAAACAAGCCCAGAAATGAAGGCACAGAAAGAAGCTGTGACAGGGAGGAGCGAAACAGATAAGCTACTGTAAAAAAAGAGCTCCATTTGGTACTGTCTGTATAGTAATATGTATGTATAGTTTGTTAAGCTAAAGGTACTGTATAGAAAAGAACTGTGTACATGTATCTGGAAAGTTCTTTTTTCTCACCCTCTGATACCTTCATCCATCCTGTCCCATTCAGCTTAATTTTAAATTACTACTGAAAATTGGCAGGAGTTGGGTTAGGTGCTCAAGCGACTGAAGATCAGGTTTATTCCTTTTATGCCTTACATGAGGTTACCCCTTACATACACACACTGCAGAAAAAGAAATCCATTGTGCATTTAGCAAGGGTGGGGCTTTTACTCATAAGTCCTGTACATTCAGATGCTGTTTAGAAGAATGGCACTGTAGGAATATCTGGCCCATAGGTTCTTCTAAAATTATTTAACGATAAAAGTAGAGTTGAAATCCAATTATTTTAAAAAGAGCAAGTGATGAGAGGGTTTTCTTGAGCTTTCCAATTTGTGTTAAATGTGGCTATACATTTTAATAAGCATCAGATTAGGGGCTCAAGCTGCCAAAGAACCATAGTGGACTGCTGGAATCCAGCCATTCACTTGCTGGAAAAGTCACACGACACAAAAATACTTGGACTATTAGAATGCGAAGCAGCCACTCAAGAGAACTTTGCAAGTTGTATCAAATCTGGCTGCCTGATTTCTGAAATATGGTCAATGTTATTATAAGGAGTATTATTTTAGGCTTCCAGTGCATGTAAGTATACTGATAATCATAAGCCTCGCTGGCCTCGTAATCCTTTTTGAGCTTGATGGCAAAGAATATATCATTTACATATAATCCAAGGGTAAGTGATAGTATTGTACGCTAGTTTTTACCCAGATTTAACAATATCTGGAATCTGTAGCATTTAGGACGCCAACAGCTTGCTGATGCAAATCTCTCATTTCTCACCCTTATTTCTGCCACCTGCCAGAGGGTGAGAGAGCTATTTTAATTTAAAAAGTTTATCTGCAGACATATTTCACTGTTTTACATGTGACAAATGGTGCCATTTGCCCTCTGGCTTCCTCTTGTTGAAGACTCTGAATAAAAGCATTGAGACAACATGAATCAAATGCTGGGCACAAAAATCATTGAGTCTATTGGTATAAAACCATGCACAGAAGACTTAGCAGCTTTTCTTTTTTGTAAGCAATATACTATTTAAAAAAGAGAAGCACTGTCCTTAGGACCTGTTCCTCTTGATGGAATGTGTTCAGACAGAGGCTAGACTGTTATTTATTAAGTAAAGATCAACCATAGGCATCAGACAAAAAATGACTGACAACAGTTTCCTACATGGCTGTATATCTTTAGGGAGAAATCAAGGGGAAGAGATATCTCCTACTGGCCTAAACTGCTTGTGATGGGATTATACGGGATTACAATTCCTTCAGCTCCAGCTATTCCTTCTCTCTTACTTGAATTAAGCATCAGCTTGTTAACCCTTTCTCACTTCCAGAATTGCTTCTGAAATCCACAGTAAATGTTTAAATCAAAGGCATTGATTTTCTCTGGAGAATACAAGGGATGTATCATGACATCATCATGACACCATGATGCATGTAACATTATTTTAATGTCTTTGTGGCATCTACCTGATATCTATGGTCCACTGATTCTCAAACTTCCATTTATCAAATCCTACCAATCACTCATTTCAAAAAATCTGGGCCTGCCACACAATAGAAACAAACTCTATGATTTTTTTTCAAAGTTTTCTGGTTTGTCCAGGGATCAGATTGCAGTGAGTTTTTTGGTGAAAAAAAAAACAAAGCTAAACACAGTGACAACATTTGAAAGATAGTGGAGACACTCATCCTTTGGAGGTACAGTGGTACCTCGGTTCACGAACTTAATTCGTTCTGTGACTCTGGTCGCGACCCAAATTGGTCGCGACCCGAATCAAATTTCCCCATAAGATTCAATGTAAATACAGTTAATCCATTCTGACCCCTCCGAATTTGGTCGCCAACTGATTTTGGTCGCGTCCCGAATCAAATTTCCCCATAAGATTCAATGTAAATACAGTTAATCCATTCTGACCCCTCCGAATTTGGTCGCCAACTGATTTTGGTCGCGTCCCGAATCAAATTTCCCCATAAGATTCAATGTAAATACAGTTAATCCATTCTGACCCCTCCGAATTTGGTCGCCAACTGATTTTGGTCGCGTCCCGAATCAAATTTCCCCATAAGATTCAATGTAAATACAGTTAATCCATTCTGACCCCTCCGAATTTGGTCGCCAACTGATTTTGGTCGCGTCCCGAATCAAATTTCCCCATAAGATTCAATGTAAATACAGTTAATCCATTCTGACCCCTCCGAATTTGGTCGCCAACTGATTTTGGTCGCGTCCCGAATCAAATTTCCCCGTAAGGTTCAATGTAATTACGGTTAATCCGTTCTGAACCATATGTTTGTTTGTTTTTAAACCACAAAAATATGACAAAAAGTACAGCACGAAGAGAGAGAACGCTAACCTTGCTTGAGGCGACTTCTGGAGTGGAGGACAGGAAGGCGGGTGGGGAGGCGGTTATTGCTTGGAGGGAGA